AAGCAGCAGGAGATCACACTGATTCAGATGGTATTCTAGATGTTCCTCTTCATTCACTCACTGCCTGTCCTCATCAGCTCTACTGCTGCACCATCCAGGAACATTTAGACATTTAATACCAATATAGGATGGAAGGTAGAGGAGAGTGTTTTCTTCTCTCCACCATCCTCCTCTAGCTGTCCACTGGTCCTGGTAGACCTGCCTGGATCTGACTAAGCCAACCAGATGAGATTCTCTGGGGTAAAACATGTTTTCAATGACTGATACAGATCAGCCATTCTGTTCAACCTCACTGGTTTGAAGGCTTCCTGTAGCTGGGTTATTAAGAAATCTAATTGTTTATAATTATTATTTGGCCAAATCCGGCCCGTTAGCATTGACTTTGACATATGCGCTCTAGATGGTACTGATCTAACAAATAATCTTTAGAAGCAGTTAGACATTAGGGTTCAAAGTTATTCTGAAACTAACCTGTAGTTAGCAGAAATAAACTATATGAACCATGAAATAATCTAATCCATTTTTATAGCTCCAATTACCAACAACCACTTTATAGATCCATATCAAGCAGATGATACAGTCATACAGGATGAGTAGGTAGAGAAGGTAGATATTGGCCATTTGTTAATTCACTCGAATGTGAGTACGAACTCGTGTCCTCGCCAAGTCAGTTCTTAACAAGAAATAGTGAGAACGGGAGCAGCATCAATCTGGGTCAATGGGAAAATCAGCGCACTGATGACATCACCACATTCAAAGCTCGTCTGGAGCTGCATTTCACCTCATGTTATTAATAGTCTCTAGATAATAATGAATTCTGACTTTTTTCATTTAGTGGAGGAATAATAATGAACACAGTCAGATAAACTCAAATCAAATGAACATTTTACCAAAAAAAACAATCAAACCTCCATCAGAGCCAGCGGTCCTTCACACACGGCTATGCAGAGAGAGGTCTGCTGCAGACGGGCTAACGTTAGCCCTGGCTGCTGCAGACGGGCTAACGTTAGCCCTGGATGCTGCAGACGGGCTAACGTTAGCCCTGGCTGCTGCAGAAGGGCTAACGTTAGCCCTGGATGCTGCAGACGGGCTAACGTTAGCCCTGGATGCTGCAGACGGGCTAACGTTAGCCCTGGCCGCTGCAGACGGGCTAACGTTAGCCCTGGTTACTTAAGACAGGCTAATGTTAGCCCTGGCCGCTGCAGACGGGCTAACGTTAGCCCTGGTTACTTAAGACAGGCTAATGTTAGCCCTGGCCGCTGCAGACGGGCTAACGTTAGCCCTGGCCGCTGCAGACGGGCTAATGTTAGCCCTGGTTACTGCAGACGGGCTAACATTAGCCCTGGTTTCTGAAGACTGGCTAATGTTAACCCTGGCCGCTGCAGACGGGCTAACGTTAGCCCTGGCTGCTGCAGACGGGCTAACGTTAGCCCTGGCCGCTGCAGACAGGCTAATGTTAGCCCTGGCCGCTGCAGACGGGCTAACGTTAGCCCTGGCTGCTGCAGACGGGCTAACGTTAGCCCTGGCTGCTCTCTCAACATCAGACATTTTTTTACACAGATTGAGAAATGGCAAATGACTTCAGCAATCCCTCACACTAAGCATGCTTGTAGCGACAGTGGAGTGGAAAAACTCCCTTTGAACAGGAAGAAACCTCCAGCAGAACCAGGCTCAGTGTGAGCGGCCATCTGCTCTTTGTGTAAAGAATCACAGAGCGATGCTGAGAAGAAGACAGGAACCATTTAGTAGATTCTTTGGCCTTCTTCTCAGAGCATTCTGTTATATATGACTATTATAATACAGTAATCCTTTTTCAGGATGATTCAGCTGCCTTTTTCTGAACGTTAGTGAAGACAAACAAAGCGGTGTGTGTTTGAATGTCAGAAAAAGAAACAATAAATACTGAATGTCTGATTTTTAAACTCAATAACTGGCATCTAGAAATGTTTCAGCTGATATCATCTGTTTTAAATCAGTGTTTAATGTGTGTTAGTGTTTCAGGACGTATCGCCCGATGGACCTAACAGGTTTTATTTAATTTTAATAAGACTGATTTAAAGTTGTACTGCTGAATATCTGCTACAACATTTAGTGACAGGAGGAAACAGCCTGGATGTGGTCTGTCTCAGACTCAGACCCACAGTTTAGACCTGCTTCCTGCTGCCGGAGTGTTTTTCTTCTGTCAGTGGATCTGATCCAAACTGAAACTGTCAGCAGCCACAGCAGGAAGCGCAAACAGCAGCTGAGGCAGCCAATCAGAAAATCTGCTGCTGATGACGCACCAGTTACCTGGGAAGCAGTGTTCTGGGTTTAACAACAGAGAAAAGCGGGAGCAGGAGAGCCCCCTGCTGGGATGCTGGTGCTGTGACATCCTGAGACCAGAGTCACACCAAGGTCTGAATCAGGTCAATAAAATGATGAAATTAACTTTTACAGCAGATTTACCTGCAGAATCAGACATTAGATATTTGTACGTGAGATTTTAAGGAGAGAGTTCCATGTGAATGTGGAAAATTCATGATATCAGAGTTCATAGGTTTGATATTTATATACGGGGTGTAAATAACTATGTGGTCATTTTTTAGAAAGGTTAACAATTAATCAAATGTTTTTGAAATTAAACGATTTAGACTGTTTCACTATTGGTACTCACTACTGGGACTCACTGCTGGGACTCACTGCTGGGACTCACTGGAGAGGAAACAAGGAGAGGAAATAAGGAGAGGAAACAAGGAGAGGAAACAAGGAGAGGAAATAAGGAGAGGAAATAAGGAGAGGAAACAAGGAGAGGAAATAAGGAGAGGAAACAATGAGAGGAAACAAGGAGAGGAAATAAGGAGAGGAAACAATGAGAGGAAACAAGGAGAGGAAATAAGGAGAGGAAACAAGGAGAGGAAACAAGGAGAGGAAACAAGGAGAGGTGAGTGAACATTTCTCCCTCATTGATATAAATATTATTACATTCAGGTGGAGATGAATAAAATATATTAAACAGACTTTGATCCTGGAGTCAATGAGGAGCTTTAATGTGGCTCAGATTCAATGTTAAAGCTCCATGCTATGTGACAGCACTACATTACCCATGATGCACTGCTCTGTTCTGCTGTAGCACATCCTCATAGGTCAGAGGGGAAACAAGGAGAGGAAACAAGGAGAGGAAATAAGGAGAGGAAACAAGGAGAGGAAACAAGGAGAGGAAACAAGGAGAGGAAACAAGGAGAGGAAACAAGGAGAGGAAACATGGAGAGGAAACAAGGAGAGGAAACAAGGAGAGGAAACAAGGAGAGGAAACAAGGAGAGGAAACATGGAGAGGAAACAAGGAGAGGAAACAAGGAGAGGAAACAAGGAGAGGAAACAAGGAGAGGAAATAAGGAGAGAAACAAGGAGAGGTGAGTGAACATTTCTCCCTCATTGATATAAATATTATTACATTCAGGTGGAGATGAATAAAATATATTAAACAGACTTTGATCCTGGAGTCAATGAGGAGCTTTAATGTGGCTCAGATTCAATGTTAAAGCTCCATGCTATGTGACAGCACTACATTACCCATGATGCACTGCTCTGTTCTGCTGTAGCACATCCTCATAGGTCAGAGCGGAAACAAGGAGAGGAAACAAGGAGAGGAAACAAGGAGAGGTGAGTGAACATTTCTCCCTCATTGATATAAATATTATTACATTCAGGTGGAGATGAATAAAATATATTAAACAGACTTTGATCCTGGAGTCAATGAGGAGCTTTAATGTGGCTCAGATTCAATGTTAAAGCTCCATGCTATGTGACAGCACTACATTACCCATGATGCACTGCTCTGTTCTGCTGGAGCACATCCTCATAGGTCAGAGGGGAAATAAGGAGAGGAAACAAGGAGAGGAAACAAGGAGAGGAAACAAGGAGAGGAAACAAGGAGAGGAAACAAAGAGAGGAAACAGGAGAGGAAACAAGGAGAGGAAACAAGGAGAGGAAACAAGGAGAGGAAACAAGGAGAGGAAACAGGAGAGGAAACAGGAGAGGAAACAAGGAGAGGAAACAAGGAGAGGAAACAAGGAGAGGTGAGTGAACATTTCTCCCTCATTGATATAAATATTATTACATTCAGGTGGAGATGAATAAAATATATTAAACAGACTTTGATCCTGGAGTCAATGAGGAGCTTTAATGTGGCTCAGATTCAATGTTAAAGCTCCATGCTATGTGACAGCACTACATTACCCATGATGCACTGCTCTGTTCTGCTGTAGCACATCCTCATAGGTCAGAGCGGAAACAAGGAGAGGAAACAAGGAGAGGAAACAAGGAGAGGTGAGTGAACATTTCTCCCTCATTGATATAAATATTATTACATTCAGGTGGAGATGAATAAAATATATTAAACAGACTTTGATCCTGGAGTCAATGAGGAGCTTTAATGTGGCTCAGATTCAATGTTAAAGCTCCATGCTATGTGACAGCACTACATTACCCATGATGCACTGCTCTGTTCTGCTGTAGCACATCCTCATAGGTCAGAGGGGAAATAAGGAGAGGAAACAAGGAGAGGAAACAAGGAGAGGAAACAAGGAGAGGAAACAAGGAGAGGAAACAAAGAGAGGAAACAGGAGAGGAAACAAGGAGAGGAAACAAGGAGAGGAAACAAGGAGAGGAAACAAGGAGAGGAAACAGGAGAGGAAACAGGAGAGGAAACAAGGAGAGGAAACAAGGAGAGGAAACAAGGAGAGGTGAGTGAACATTTCTCCCTCATTGATATAAATATTATTACATTCAGGTGGAGATGAATAAAATATATTAAACAGACTTTGATCCTGGAGTCAATGAGGAGCTTTAATGTGGCTCAGATTCAATGTTAAAGCTCCATGCTATGTGACAGCACTACATTACCCATGATGCACTGCTCTGTTCTGCTGGAGCACATCCTCATAGGTCAGAGGGGAAACAAGGAGAGGAAACAAGGAGAGGAAACATGGAGAGGAAATAAGGAGAGGAAATAAGGAGAGGAAACAAGGAGAGGAAACAAGGAGAGGAAACAAGGAGAGGAAACAAGGAGAGGAAACAAGGAGAGGTGAGTGAACATTTCTCCCTCATTGATATAAATATTATTACATTCAGGTGGAGATGAATAAAATATATTAAACAGACTTTGATCCTGGAGTCAATGAGGAGCTTTAATGTGGCTCAGATTCAATGTTAAAGCTCCATGCTATGTGACAGCACTACATTACCCATGATGCACTGCTCTGTTCTGCTGTAGCACATCCTCATAGGTCAGAGGGGAAACAAGGAGAGGAAACAAGGAGAGGAAACAAGGAGAGGTGAGTGAACATTTCTCCCTCATTGATATAAATATTATTACATTCAGGTGGAGATGAATAAAATATATTAAACAGACTTTGATCCTGGAGTCAATGAGGAGCTTTAATGTGGCTCAGATTCAATGTTAAAGCTCCATGCTATGTGACAGCACTACATTACCCATGATGCACTGCTCTGTTCTGCTGGAGCACATCCTCATAGGTCAGAGGGGAAACAAGGAGAGGAAACAAGGAGAGGAAACAAGGAGGGGAAACAGGAGAGGTGAGTGAACATTTCTCCCTCATTGATATAAATATTATTACATTCAGGTGGAGATGAATAAAATATATTAAACAGACTTTGATCCTGGAGTCAATGAGGAGCTTTAATGTGGCTCAGATTCAATGTTAAAGCTCCATGCTATGTGACAGCACTACATTACCCATGATGCACTGCTCTGTTCTGCTGGAGCACATCCTCACAGGTCAGAGGGGAAATAAGGAGAGGAAACAAGGAGAGGAAATAAGGAGAGGAAACAAGGAGAGGAAACAAGGAGAGGAAATAAGGAGAGGAAACAAGGAGAGGTGAGTGAACATTTCTCCCTCATTGATATAAATATTATTACATTCAGGTGGAGATGAATAAAATATATTAAACAGACTTTGATCCTGGAGTCAATGAGGAGCTTTAATGTGGCTCAGATTCAATGTTAAAGCTCCATGCTATGTGACAGCACTACATTACCCATGATGCACTGCTCTGTTCTGCTGGAGCACATCCTCATAGGTCAGAGGGGAAACAAGGAGAGGAAACAAGGAGAGGAAACAAGGAGAGGAAACAAGGAGAGGAAATAAGGAGAGGAAACAAGGAGAGGTGAGTGAACATTTCTCCCTCATTGATATAAATATTATTACATTCAGGTGGAGATGAATAAAATATATTAAACAGACTTTGATCCTGGAGTCAATGAGGAGCTTTAATGTGGCTCAGATTCAATGTTAAAGCTCCATGCTATGTGACAGCACTACATTACCCATGATGCACTGCTCTGTTCTGCTGGAGCACATCCTCACAGGTCAGAGAGGAAACAAGGAGAGGAAACAAGGAGAGGAGACAAGGAGAGGAAACAAGGAGAGGTGAGTGAACATTTCTCCCTCATTGATATAAATATTATTACATTCAGGTGGAGATGAATAAAATATATTAAACAGACTTTGATCCTGGAGTCAATGAGGAGCTTTAATGTGGCTCAGATTCAATGTTAAAGCTCCATGCTATGTGACAGCACTACATTACCCATGATGCACTGCTCTGTTCTGCTGTAGCACATCCTCATAGGTCAGAGGGGAAACAAGGAGAGGAAACAAGGAGAGGAAACAAGGAGAGGTGAGTGAACATTTCTCCCTCATTGATATAAATATTATTACATTCAGGTGGAGATGAATAAAATATATTAAACAGACTTTGATCCTGGAGTCAATGAGGAGCTTTAATGTGGCTCAGATTCAATGTTAAAGCTCCATGCTATGTGACAGCACTACATTACCCATGATGCACTGCTCTGTTCTGCTGTAGCACATCCTCACAGGTCAGAGAGGAAACAAGGAGAGGAAACAAGGAGAGGAAACAAGGAGGGGAAACAGGAGAGGAAACAAGGAGAGGAAACAATGAGAGGAAATAAGGAGAGGAAACAAGGAGAGGAAACAAGGAGAGGAAACAAGGAGAGGAAACAAGGAGAGGAAATAAGGAGAGGAAACAAGGAGAGGGAACAAGGAGAGGAAACAAGGAGAGGAAACAAGGAGAGGAAACAAGGAGAGGGAATAAGGAGAGGAAATAAGGAGAGGAAACAAGGAGAGGTGAGTGAACATTTCTCCCTCATTGATATAAATATTATTACATTCAGGTGGAGATGAATAAAATATATTAAACAGACTTTGATCCTGGAGTCAATGAGGAGCTTTAATGTGGCTCAGATTCAATGTTAAAGCTCCATGCTATGTGACAGCACTACATTACCCATGATGCACTGCTCTGTTCTGCTGTAGCACATCCTCATAGGTCAGAGGGGAAACAAGGAGAGGAAACAAGGAGAGGAAACAAGGAGAGGAAACACGGAGAGGAAACAAGGAGAGGAAACAAGGAGAGGAAACAAGGAGAGGAAACACGGAGAGGAAACAAGGAGAGGAAACAATGAGAGGAAATAAGGAGAGGAAACAAGGAGAGGAAACAAGGAGAGGAAACAAGGAGAGGAAACAAGGAGAGGAAACAAGGAGAGGAAACAAGGAGAGGAAACAAGGAGAGGTGAGTGAACATTTCTCCCTCATTGATATAAATATTATTACATTCAGGTGGAGATGAATAAAATATATTAAACAGACTTTGATCCTGGAGTCAATGAGGAGCTTTAATGTGGCTCAGATTCAATGTTAAAGCTCCATGCTATGTGACAGCACTACATTACCCATGATGCACTGCTCTGTTCTGCTGTAGCACATCCTCACAGGTCAGAGAGGAAACAAGGAGAGGAAACAAGCAGAGGAAACAAGGAGGGGAAACAGGAGAGGAAACAAGGAGAGGAAACAATGAGAGGAAATAAGGAGAGGAAACAAGGAGAGGAAACAAGGAGAGGAAACAAGGAGAGGAAACAAGGAGAGGAAATAAGGAGAGGAAACAAGGAGAGGGAACAAGGAGAGGAAACAAGGAGAGGAAACAAGGAGAGGAAACAAGGAGAGGAAACAAGGAGAGGAAACAAGGAGAGGAAACAAGGAGAGGTGAGTGAACATTTCTCCCTCATTGATATAAATATTATTACATTCAGGTGGAGATGAATAAAATATATTAAACAGACTTTGATCCTGGAGTCAATGAGGAGCTTTAATGTGGCTCAGATTCAATGTTAAAGCTCCATGCTATGTGACAGCACTACATTACCCATGATGCACTGCTCTGTTCTGCTGTAGCACATCCTCATAGGTCAGAGAGGAAACAAGGAGAGGAAACAAGGAGAGGAAACAAGGAGAGGAAATAAGGAGAGGAAACAATGAGAGGAAACAAGGAGAGGAAACAAGGAGAGGAAACAATGAGAGGAAATAAGGAGAGGAAACAAGGAGAGGAAACAAGGAGAGGAAACAAGGAGAGGAAATAAGGAGAGGAAACAAGGAGAGGAAACAAGGAGAGGAAACAAGGAGAGGTGAGTGAACATTTCTCCCTCATTGATATAAATATTATTACATTCAGGTGGAGATGAATAAAATATATTAAACAGACTTTGATCCTGGAGTCAATGAGGAGCTTTAATGTGGCTCAGATTCAATGTTAAAGCTCCATGCTATGTGACAGCACTACATTACCCATGATGCACTGCTCTGTTCTGCTGTAGCACATCCTCATAGGTCAGAGGGGAAACAAGGAGAGGAAACAAGGAGAGGTGAGTGAACATTTCTCCCTCATTGATATAAATATTATTACATTCAGGTGGAGATGAATAAAATATATTAAACAGACTTTGATCCTGGAGTCAATGAGGAGCTTTAATGTGGCTCAGATTCAATGTTAAAGCTCCATGCTATGTGACAGCACTACATTACCCATGATGCACTGCTCTGTTCTGCTGTAGCACATCCTCATAGGTCAGAGGGGAAACAAGGAGAGGAAACAAGGAGAGGAAACAAGGAGAGGAAACAAGGAGAGGAAACAAGGAGAGGAAACAAGGAGAGGAAACAGGGAGAGGAAACAAGGAGAGGAAACAAGGAGAGGAAACAAGGAGAGGAAACAAGGAGAGGAAACAAGGAGAGGTGAGTGAACATTTCTCCCTCATTGATATAAATATTATTACATTCAGGTGGAGATGAATAAAATATATTAAACAGACTTTGATCCTGGAGTCAATGAGGAGCTTTAATGTGGCTCAGATTCAATGTTAAAGCTCCATGCTATGTGACAGCACTACATTACCCATGATGCACTGCTCTGTTCTGCTGGAGCACATCCTCATAGGTCAGAGGGGAAACAAGGAGAGGAAACAAGGAGAGGAAACAAGGAGAGGAGAGTGAACATTTCTCCCTCATTGATATAAATATTATTACATTCAGGTGGAGATGAATAAAATATATTAAACAGACTTTGATCCTGGAGTCAATGAGGAGCTTTAATGTGGCTCAGATTCAATGTTAAAGCTCCATGCTATGTGACAGCACTACATTACCCATGATGCACTGCTCTGTTCTGCTGGAGCACATCCTCATAGGTCAGAGGGGAAACAAGGAGAGGAAACAAGGAGAGGAAATAAGGAGAGGAAACAAGGAGAGGAAATAAGGAGAGGAAACAAGGAGAGGAAACAAGGAGAGGAAACAAGGAGAGGAAACAAGGAGAGGAAACAGGGAGAGGAAACAAGGAGAGGAAACAAGGAGAGGAAACAAGGAGAGGAAACAAGGAGAGGAAACAAGGAGAGGTGAGTGAACATTTCTCCCTCATTGATATAAATATTATTACATTCAGGTGGAGATGAATAAAATATATTAAACAGACTTTGATCCTGGAGTCAATGAGGAGCTTTAATGTGGCTCAGATTCAATGTTAAAGCTCCATGCTATGTGACAGCACTACATTACCCATGATGCACTGCTCTGTTCTGCTGTAGCACATCCTCATAGGTCAGAGGGGAAACAAGGAGAGGAAACAAGGAGAGGAAATAAGGAGAGGAAACAAGGAGAGGAAATAAGGAGAGGAAACAAGGAGAGGAAACAAGGAGAGGAAACAGGGAGAGGAAACAAGGAGAGGAAACAAGGAGAGGAAACAAGGAGAGGAAACAGGAGAGGAAACAAGGAGAGGAAACAGGGAGAGGAAACAAGGAGAGGAAACAAGGAGAGGAAACAAGGAGAGGAAACAAGGAGAGGAAATAAGGAGAGGAAACAAGGAGAGGTGAGTGAACATTTCTCCCTCATTGATATAAATATTATTACATTCAGGTGGAGATGAATAAAATATATTAAACAGACTTTGATCCTGGAGTCAATGAGGAGCTTTAATGTGGCTCAGATTCAATGTTAAAGCTCCATGCTATGTGACAGCACTACATTACCCATGATGCACTGCTCTGTTCTGCTGGAGCACATCCTCACAGGTCAGAGGGGAAATAAGGAGAGGAAACAAGGAGAGGAAATAAGGAGAGGAAACAAGGAGAGGAAACAAGGAGAGGAAATAAGGAGAGGAAACAAGGAGAGGTGAGTGAACATTTCTCCCTCATTGATATAAATATTATTACATTCAGGTGGAGATGAATAAAATATATTAAACAGACTTTGATCCTGGAGTCAATGAGGAGCTTTAATGTGGCTCAGATTCAATGTTAAAGCTCCATGCTATGTGACAGCACTACATTACCCATGATGCACTGCTCTGTTCTGCTGTAGCACATCCTCATAGGTCAGAGGGTAACTTCTAATATAACGAGCAGCTGATGATGCAGGAACGGCTGAGATTTTCCAGTTCTAATTTAATTCATGTAAAGCTCTTTGAACTCAGTCTGTGCTGAATAGTTCTATAGAAATAGACCGACCGCCTTAATGTGCCTGATCCTGCTTTCATGCACCAGGTAATGTGGTGTTTAGCTCAGTTATTGACTAGAGAGGAGGAGGAATGCTGTAGTTCATCTGCTGGTGGAGGAGAACTTCAAGAGAACTTCAGGAGAACTTCAGGAGAACTTCAGGAGAACTTCAGGAGAACTGAAGATGTTCTCCATCCATCTGATCTAAAGCTGTGCTTCAGTTCTGTCATGAATCTAAATATTTCTGATCCTTTCACCGTTTCCTGGCTGTTTATGTGATGTTGATGTTCATTTCCTGTCATTGATGAATCATCTGTAATGGTATACCGCCCTCTATAGGAATGTCAGTGGTATTGCTGGACAGTTCTGTATAGATAGATAGCATTTATTGTCACTGAACAGAATTCAACAAAATTTCCATTGCAGCTCCCGTGCAAAAGGTCAAATATATACAGTACAGACAAGCAAACACACAACAATAATAATAACAACATACACAACTAAATCAACCAAAGGCACTCAGCCATGCCAAAGAAGCAGCAGCAGGTCCAATCATGGCAAAACACA